ATTATCAGTGTACATGCTTAACTTCGATTGTTTATGTTTATACATCGAAAGAATGTTACGTACAAATTTGTTTAATTTGAGTGAGTTGTCTCCTCAAAAGAGAAGACTAAAATTATTAATTAAACCACAATGGAACAACATGTTTTGAATATGGTTATTATTATTCTTATTTGATCATAATGAAATGAAGACCTGGGTATTCTCACATTTTCTAGAAAGTGAAGTTCTCAATTTGATCAATAAAAAATTGGTCGATGGCTATAAATATAATCTCGTAAATCCAGCTCTCTAACAAAAATTATAAAATTTCATTGTACGATTTTCGTTTTGTGATACTGATAACCGCTGTAAAGTAAAAACTAGAGCCACAAATAAAATCCCTTGTCCTTCAGCACTAGGTAATAACAATCTGAAGCTCAAGTGTTTATTTATGTTATATTTACATCGAAAGCATGTCATGTAAAAATTAGTTTGATTTGAATGAGTTTGTTTTCTCAAAACAGAACTAAAATTATTAATTAAACTAAGTAAGACAATCGAACAAAATATTGTGAATGTTATAATTCTTATTTTATTATTAAATTATTATTATACAAAGACGTGTGTATTCTTTACATTTTCGAGAAAATAGAATGACTCGTTCTTAATTTGACCAATAAAAAATTCCGATGATTTTATCAACGTGGATAATTCTAGCCACATCACAAAAAAGAGTAGGCACAGCGTTATATCAATGCAAGAAAAAAAAAAGGAAAGGGATACAATCACAGTAGGTACCGCAAGGTCGCCGCTCTCTACGATACACTACTACGCCACGGAGACGTACAAACCGTGCTGGGAATAAAACGTTATTATAACTTGCAAATGGTTTTGCGAGAATTTGAACGTTTAGCGAAAAAACTGAAAGTCATTTTAGAATACCATTCATTGAAATGACGTAATAAAATTGTTGGTGCGGATGATTGGCCAACTTTTAGTTAGCATTTAACCATATACATGATATTTCTAATATACATACAAAATTTGACACCAATTGGTCTAGTAGTTTCGGAGATTATGTGTCTAATAATAAACGATACAGACACCAGGCAGACAGATAGACAGACAAACAGACAGATAGACAGACAGACAGACAGACGGTAACGGGAGACTACTTTCTTCGTACTATAGGGGTTTGTGAAACGTCGAAAAAACATAAAAGTGGCCATTCGCCCGATGGACTTGATTACAATACTTACTTCGCTTGCGCTCGGGAAGTGAAAAATGTGCTTTTATATAGTGAACCAAGAGCTATAAGGTTATATGGCCATCATAAAAATAGTTGACCGCAAATAAATACCCCTTTGTGTGGTTCGCACTAAGCTTACCGGTTGGTAATAAATCATCTTCTAAATATTTCTTGCTCATATTTAACAGGGCCGGCTTTCAAAGCGAGTGGTTATTTAGGAACCCTCAGCGGCTGCAGGTAGTAAAGAAATAGTGGAGTGGTGGATTTTCATATTTAGTGAAAGCCGCCCCTGAACGAAACCACAAGAGCCGGTCGAGCTGCAGTGGACACGTTATTTACGACCCTAAAACCTTTTCTATTGTAAACAACTTAACTTCGACACAATGGGATGATTTTATGATGACCATATAACCTTATAACTCTTGGTTCACTATACTTTTGATTTTATTACTGCAGTCTTATTTGTAAACTTATGCATATTAGTACTTAAATTATGTGGCAAAAATTGTAAGTAAGTACCTAAGTACAATAAAATTTTACGGTTTATCTTTAGAGCTATAAATACGGATTGCTCAAAAATTCTGAGGACCCTCAGGATATGGACATGGTAAATAAATAATGAGAACATGTCTGTTTGTTTTATATAAAAACTTGTATTTTATTTTTGTTACTTCCCGAATGTAAGTATCGTAACAGAGTCCGTCAATCGAACCGTTGCTTTAATATTTTCCGGGCACCTAGAGCATGAAAAAATAGGTCCCCGTTTCAATCTGTCTGTCGTCGGTCTCGATTTTCATTAGATTTATTAGAAACTACTGGGCTGGTTGTTGTCAAATTTAGTAGGAATTTAGGAACGTCGTGTATGTAAATCGTAAAACGCTAACCCAAATTTGTCTGAAAATTCCCACTAGTATTTGATAACGTTTAGTATCTGCTAAGATAGGACTGATTTTGGTAAATGGCGTAGGTACTCACTAAGAAAATCGAGTGCGGGTGGGCGAGGCTACTATCTGATAAAATAAGACTGATTTTGGTAAATGACGTACCTTCTAAGAAAATTGAAGTGCTTCAAGTGAAAAACAAAGAAAACTGACAATTTACAAATTCAATCAACCTGTATACATGATTAATACCCGTATATGACCAGGCGACTAAAAAATCTTGTGCAATTCTTGTATTAGTCTAGAGTTTGAAAAAGTAAGTGCTCCGTTTCCGTCTGTCTGTCATCTGTCGTTTCCGAAATTAATACCTAGACTATTATGAAATTTTAGATATATTTTAGTAATCAATTTTTATTCAATTTTTCTAAGAAAATGAATTTATTCAATCGTTTTCACCGCTTTTTATTGACCTTTCTTTTCATTTCAAATTCATAAACTCCAAGACTCTTCCCTCACCTGCCGAACCGACAACATCAAAATAAATACGCCAAAACGCAAGTACTATTTCAATCACCTGATCACCCCACATCATTGTATTTCAGAGGTGAGAAAAGTTGTGTAGGTATAAAAACTTATGATCAATTTTTGGTTTGATAAAAATTTTGCAAGGTACCTAAATGTTATTTAAATTTTGTAAAAAAAACATAAACCACGTACAACCTATTCCTAACCATTTTCCAATTGCATCAAAATCTATTTTATTGTTTTCAATTAGTTTTCGTGCCATTATAACTTCAAACTTACTGACAATAAAGGTACCTACAAGTTACAACAAAACAAAAATGAAAAGCATCTTTGTATGAGATTTCTGTGAGTATAACTGTGTTTGTCGTTTATGACTAGGATTTCATTTTTTTTTAATAAGTATTAAAAAATATATTATCTATTTTTTTGTAAAAAACTAGCATTGTTTAATTGCACTTCAGAGGCGGGAGAAGTTCTGTCTAAAAATAGTACAATTTTTATCTTTTGCAAAATTAAACTCTTATTTTTTATAATTGTTTCTACAGGGTGTCTTAAAAAATAATGAACGCAGAAAACGTCATCCTAAAAAAATCAATAAATTTGTAGATATTAGTAAAATACTTATACATCATCTAGAAAATTTTTTACCTGTATTACAGTGTGACCTTCATTTTTTAGATTACCAATACCTACATACTTATACTAAAAAAAAACAATCACCAAGTACTAAAAAAAACAATAAAGTATCTACTGATTAGTATACATCAGTACTGTTCGTACTCTCGAAATTAATATGTTTACCCACTTTAAAAAGTTTATGGCGTCATCTAATTATATTTAACAATAAAGTAATAATTATTACTTTATTGTTAAACGGGAGGTAAAGAAACTAAAAAAATTAAACATTTCAAGAAAAAAACCTAGTAGGTTCCTGAAGTTTCTGAATAAGATACCTTATGATAAAAAATGCGAAGTTGTTTGCAAACAACTTTGCAGACTTTTTTTCACATTATGTGTGCCCTACAGAAGTGAAGGTCACTGTCAATACTCAGTTTACTGAACAGATGGAGTTGTAAAAGTAGTATTATCGGTTGAGGCATATCGGCAGTTGACCGTTTTCACATAACTCAAAAAATTATACCTATCCTTTCCTCTTATGCCAACTACAGCTTTCACTCTTAGTAGGTACTTGTGGCCTGGTGTCATCATGCTTGTTTTCAGTTTTCTCAGTTTATTCGGCATTTTCTGTAAATCAGTCTTTTTAAAGACTTTTATTTTGTATTGTTACGAAAAGCCAAGTTGAGTTACTTAGTTTCTGGAAAAGTGATGGAAAATAGTAAAAAAAAGTAATAAATCAGATTAAAGATTGTGTATTGCGTCAATGTAGGTATACTTTCTTTCTAATTTAAAAATTGAAAACTTATTATTAGGTAAGTGACAAACATTTCTGCAACGACATGAAACTTTTTTACTTTATATCATTTAGATTTTTACGTTTATCTTATGAGAAAGAAAAAGAAGGAATATGTACCTATAAGATTTTATAAACAACGAAAATATTTTCAAACAACGTGCCGAGATTTCATCATATGTTCAATTTTAATGTTATCGTATAAGCTTGGGCGCTTACTTTGTAGATACCTGAAGCTTACGTGATCACTCCATCTGTTCGGTAAACGGACTATGGTCTCCATGACTCCTAAAAGCAACCACTGTATAACTTTGTTATACCCATATTAATATAATAAAGTCCAGTTTGTTAGATCAGAGTGAAAATACGATCTTGATTAAATGATTGAAAACAACTAATACTAACAAAATTGTGTAGGTACGTACTTTTTAGTACATATTATCAATTTTAGGTACATTAAGCGAATTTTAAAAATTCCTAAATTACACCCTGTATAATAAAAATTATATTCAATTAAAAAAATCCTTCTTAATTCTCTAACATTTTAGATATTAGAGCGTAGTAATACCTGTAAAAGTACCCACAATAAAGCCTTTGACAACTACTTTCACCAGTTTCACCTACATTTCCTCCATCCTCCCCCAAAAAATTCTTCATTACCCACTCGAAAGCGCAACAACGCCCTCCACAAAAATAATTCCGTATGGCCTCCATAACCCCTTGTAACTATTATTTGATATAAAACCCAGCATAGGCGGTCTGCATTCTTCTCTAAATACCCAGCAGCGATTGGCTGCCGAGCACTCCGCCCGCGCCGTCATTGGTCGCCGCTCCAGGAATGTTATAATCATGCCAATAGGGCGTAACGCGTCGGTGGGGATAACTGGGCGGGGCCACGGAATACAGGGGGTAAGGAATTTTTATTCTCGACACCCAGTTAGTCCCAATACCGGTTTCGGATGAGGCGTATGTCGAGATTTTCATGCGCAACGTAACGTGTTCCCGCAGCGAGCCGAAAACTGTCAAAAATCGCAAAATGTGTCGTTGAACTGACGTTCGACCGCCGATAGAATGTGATGGGGGCAGGTGGTGATGCCATAACGGACAGAACGTGTGTTTTGGCGCGGATCGCAGTGCCCTTTGCCGACGGTTTGTTTTATTTTTGTTTACGTTTGTAACTTGATTGTTGACGGATTTAAAACTGAGTTGGGATAGTGCAATAGTTGTGTTGCGTCTGAATTGTTTTGCAATGTGTATATGTATATAATGAGTTGTTCTGAAGTTATGTACCAAGCGTATTATCCTTACTTGTACCAAAGGGCCGGAGCAGCGCCGCCAGTGTCGGCCCATCCAGTGCCAAGAACTGGACCTTTTAGTTCTCCTTTTGGAGCAGCCCATCAATATGATAGGGTGAGTGACAAAAAATATACATAAAAAATATACACAACACTAGGTATATTCGAAAGTGAAAACCGGTCCATTATTATAAAGTACTTTGTGATAATTTAAAGTAAAATAACAAAACAGGTTTGCTTGAACTCTCCTGATTGCAGTGGTCTATATATTATTACGGAATAATAAGTATAATAAATAAATTACTTTAAGAAAATTGATGTTACTGAAGAATATGATAAATTTGCTGAAAGGAACTGAAACTCAGTAGAGACATCAGATATCTGCTAGTATAAGGTATCATACGGTGGGTAGTAATGGATTTATATCAAATAGCACAATGGAATACCTACATCTAGTATAACATATACGGTGTATAGCATCCGTTTTAAAATTTAATAATAACACAGTTTAAGTATAGAGCAAGCATAAAATAATTTATACATTAACATCCGTGTATTCTTACACATGCTGATGTCATAAAAGTTGCATAGACCTACATATTTATTTAAAATGCACCTGTTTCAATAATTTTTGAACTAAAAAAATATCGAAAGACTAATGTAATTTCAGATAAAAAACATGCAAGAACACTGTTTAAAATTCAGTTACCTAATGAAATTATCTTTAAACTTTCACAATAAATCCAAGATGGAATTAAATCTCACTTGGGATGTCGCATTAATTAATAGTCGTTATTTCAAAATTCTTAAAAAAAAAATAAAATAAAAATAAGCAACCTTTAAAAGAAATTGCAAAATTTATTTATCACTTATAAAACTTTTACCATCATCTACACATGATCGTTGGGCATAAAATTTTTTGTACATACAGTTTGCTAAATTTTCAAATAATTTTAAACATTTTTCGAAAATTTTTAGAAGGGAGTACCTATACTTCACCAACGAAAATCGTGGTTCTGCGATTTTGACTCCCACCCCCTTGATAATGTATAATGTTGTTTATTAAATGCAAATTTATGACACTATGCCAAACTTAATAGCGGTTCTTTGTTGTGTTTTTATTGGTTCTGGCATGCTTCTTCTAAACAGGATCAGCTTTTATTTGGTGGCATTAGTTTAATAAGACGCTGTTTTTATTTCCGAACGAAGGACTTGGAAAATTCAAAATCATAAAACCACTGTTTTCTTGGAGCACTATACCTACTTGAGTGTTGAGTAAAATATCCTGTATATCACGCAAAAAAATCACAGTAGATACAATATATGTTTCAGCATAACACAAATACATACCTACCTACCTAAATTTAATAAATAATAAAGACAAACGGATTTTATGATAAAAAAAAAAGATATTTTCTAATGCTATTGTTAAAAAAAATAATAAAGTGTTCAATACATAATACGTTCCCGGATTAACTTTACAAGAGGATTTTTTTTTAATTTGTTATTTTCCAGAAAAAAGTCAGAGAAGTAAAAAATTTTGCTTGACTTAAAAGAAGTAACGGGTGTTCAGTTTAAGAAGTCATCAAGTTGGCGTTGTTTTTTAATAAAGAAAACGTAGCGAAAAATTGTTTTATTAATGCATGCTGTTGTGGTAACTGACATTTCCGCGTTGTTAGCTGTCATCGCTTAAATTTTAGGTTTATTGTAGTCATATTTCAAAATGTTTTCAAAAATCAAGGCCAACTTGATGACTTTTTCAAAGGAACACCCGATATTTCATTTACAAAAATTTTTCAGTTACTGATTTTTTAATATAAAATAAATTTTTATGCGTCAGATAATTGCAATTGCAATTAAAAAAAAAATGTTGTTTAATCAAAGACATGTTTATGCTTCCGTAGTTTTATTTGCAGAATTAGTTTTATTAAGCCAAGCGAAATTTTCTATTCTTTTGACATTTTTTAGAAAATCACAAATAGTCTTTCTTTCCGTATAGTTAGTTATTTCGGAAAAAATGATCTACCTAACTAAAAACGGTGTCATTTCATGAAAAAATAGGAGATGACAAGAGTTAAAAACAGGTCTACTACAATCTACAGTGAAACACCTAGGTGTTATATATTGTACAAAATATTTTTAAATGAAAATTCAGTAGTAAGTCTAATTATCAAATTTGTAAGACGCAAGATTTTTTATTTTAAATTTTAGATAGGTATACCTACTTATTAGTATTTTTGTGAAAATTATTTAATTTAATATTCGTTATTTACATTATGATATTAATACAGTACCTAATAACGAGCGATAAAATAACCCCCTAGTACCTACTAGTTGACCGTTTTTTTTTTCGGGAACATATTTCTCCAATTTTTCCAGAAACATATTTTTTAAATATTTCTATTAAAATACTGATGGAGTTCTACAGCAACAATAATTTGATTTTAACATCTAAGATTCATTTGGGACCATATTTAGAGTTTGATTTAATAAAATAACAATTCTAACAGACAGAGCTTTTTTGTTAGCTACTTTAAAAATCCTATTTAATTATTTTAAAGAATTGGCATAAAGAAACCCATGAGCGAAACATGTCACATAAATGAAACAAAAATACAATATACAGGGTGATTCAAAAATAGCACACTAACTCAACTGGTACATTATCAAGTCACGAATCTAAATTTTAGAAAAATCACTGATTGATTTTATGTACCTACCCAACACTAACCAGTGAATAAAATGTGGTCAAACACCTAAAAGAAAAATTAAACTTTGAAAGTCTCTGTTTTCTACATTGGCGCCAAGGGTTTTTAAAATTATATTTCTTTGCTCAATAAACGAGTCATGCGCCATTTTTTAATCAACTCTTCTAATTGAATTCAATTGTAAAAGAGCATACTTTGAAATTTCGTGAATTTTGCCGCGTATAGTTGTGATGTCAGACATAACCTAATTTTCTTAAAGTGTTTGGGTCTGTTTGCTGCCTGATATATAGACAACCAATAATTCAGCTCGAATGATCGATCTGCTACCTATTTAATGAAAAGACAAATTCTGCTTAAGTACCCACTCTACCCCACACTGATGTACTTTCGGTAGGGATATTATTTATTAAATATGTTTCTAAAAAATAATAAATAAATAAATAAAGAAATAACAAAATAGGAAAAAGATTCTATAGTTTCTTGAACAGCGTGATGACACCGACCAAAGTCTTGTTGATTATATCTAAGCCAAATAGTTTTTGTTCACCTTGATGTTTTGAGAATACTGATAATTGGCCTAGAAACATTTTGACTAATTTAACATTAGTACAATGATAATAAAAAATATTATTATCTTTTCATTTTTAAGTGTTTATATGTATAGTGTCCGAAATACTACAAGGTTGTATGGCCCCACTTAACTTAATAATGGGGTGTTATAATTTCTTTTGTGCGGCTGGTTACCGGCTCAATCCTAGCGTCATAAATCAAGGATTTATCTAAATATCTCGCCCTACTGCTGGGTAATCCGCTTAAACATTTTTGGTACCTACATTAAACCAACACATAGGTATGTACACAATCTACAACTGTGGGTTTACCTTATTAACTGCTCCATTGTCATTACAATACCCTAATTTTACAACAGCCATCTAACCTTGTAGTATTTGAGACACTATAGATAAATTAATAAAACATTAAATAATATTAACAATGAAAAATCGCCGACACATTTCGGACTTTATTTCTAGTTCTATTTATTTATTTTTTATTTTGTATTTGCCTTGGAAAATAGACCCGTATATTTGCTTAGAATGCGCTGTACAATCATTATAATTTATTCTGTTAATTATTTTTTTAAGAATATCAATATTAATATTTTTCATTTTCTTTCCTTTCGCTAAATTGTACTTAAATATTATGCTGCACCGTTGTAGATTTTACAATTCTTAAATCTAACATAGTTTAATAATAATAGGTTAATGTCAAATGTTCATTTTTACAATTAATTTACTTAAAAATATTGCTGAATTTTCTGCGTATAAAATTGCGTCCACAATGTGGAGAGATAAGATAATTTTCTTGGTCGTTATTCATTTTATTTGTCACTTCTGACAATTTATTTCAAAAACCTGGATATTTATGCTTGCATTAATAATGTTGTCCAACCAAAAACCATATTTCATCAGTTACTAGATGAGTATGAATGCAAACACCGATCTTCTCCTCAATATTCAACCAAACCATCACCAAACATTTAAATGATATTCAATATACATCAGAAATGAAAGCATAATTTTTCAATATTAATTTTATCAAAATTATTATCGCATAGGCGTCAGATTAATTACTTTAAAATAAAAGAATTTCCTGTTAGTAAAAGCAGTTTTTTGCAGTTTTAATGATTTAATACTTTTGCGAATTAGTAAACATATTTTAAAATTATTATTTTTATGCAGTAGCAATATATTTTTGAAAATTCACTTTATTGGATAATAGAAAATGAAACTTGTCCGTGATTTTTAGGCAGCGAAGTGGTTACAGGTAGCGAGGGATATTAGACTTCTCCGCCTCCTCTCTGCGGGTTTTCATAATCCCATAGCCACTTAGCTAGACTAAAATGGACAAGGACCAAAATTTACTGGCGTGAATACAATTTAAGTTACTTCATGGTAAAATTTTTATCAGAAAGTTTGTGTTTTCGTTAGCTTTTGTTAATGTACACAAGTGTTTAAATTTGAAAATTAAATTTCTTCTACACGAATGTAATAATTAAATACAAAATCCTATTGTCATAAAATTTAGCCCAAAAACCTGTTGTAGCTCCATTTGTATGCGCAGTGGCATCATCCTGCTGAAAGTAACCATAAACTAACTCATCATCATCCAGTTGATTTTAAAAATAGTTACAATTTCGTCTCGGTATCTTACTGACAGTATTGCCGTTAGTTATTACGTTATTATCAATTTAAATCACCAGCATTAAATTGATCTAATAATTAATTCACCTTTTTACTAACAGTTAAGTGGCTGTGAACGCCTAACTTTTGCTCTTATCTTTAGTGCTAATTTCACATTGAAACTATTTTTATTTCGATCTTTTATCCGTTTTAATTAATGAATAATA